CAGAGTGTGGGTTCAAAATGAATGTGGGAATTACTAACTGGGATGGCTATAAGGGATTGTTCCCCCCTTAGTGGTATGTCCCACTTGCTCTTCTTCTCGTCCCTACTGCTCCTCTTCTTGAGCTGACTCAGCTACTGAAGTGATACAGGCTAGAAACTGCACCTGAAAAGGTTGTAATCAATGACAGGTCAGATGACTGCACTCTGAAGGGTACTGTGACACTGATGTAGAAGACATTCTTACAGCTTGTTCAGGAAGATGAGTCATTTAAAAAAAGGGAGAAAGTGTTTCATGATATGATTGAAAACTAACTGTGTGAAGATGTATGAAAAGAAAAAGAGGGCTGAAATTACAGTAGACACGTACCACAGGCTGCCAAGCTGAAGCAGAAAGGCGAAGTTTGTTTGAACTAAGACAATGAAAAGAAGATGGAGAGGCTAACACAGTAAAATAAAATAGCAAAAAAATACCTCTCCCCACCCCCAAATACATTAGAAATGAACAGTAAAGAAAAGCAAAGGTCCAATGTAGGAAGAAACCAAACACAGACAAAGAAGAATGTTTGCAATATTCAGGGCTTCAGTCTTTGTAGGAAGGTTAATTACATCACAACTGTTCATAAAATGCATTTAAAACAAAAGAAACAGAGAACCAAGATCAGCAAAGGGTAAGAAGGAATTAAAAGCTAGATGTTATACATATTCAGATCTGACAGAATTTACCCAACAGTCATTATGGAATTAGATAAAACTATTTCTGACCTTCAGCGTGACAAGTCTTCATAAATCCATAAAGGATGGGCCAGATTCCACAGTGTTAGAGAAAAGCAATTAGATACCAAACAGAGGCAAAGAAGGACCTATAGAATGTCAGAAGGAGGTATTAACACTCTGACATTACTAGCTACTTCTGATGTAAGCACTTCTGATGTTGCACTAAACTAAATCAGGCTAACATCTCCATCCCATCCAGTGCACAGCCTCAAACTCAACCTTGTCTCAGCTTAAGATGGTGACAAACTTGGGACCATATGAACAGGCCTTCCCAAGAAGATTGTATAGCTTGCAGTCTTGGTGAAGACTCCTCTTCAGGGTCTTTATTTACTGGGAGGAGGAGTAGCCTCTTCACCTAAAACTACCAGTCAGATGACAGGTAAATGTGACAGAAAGACATGGTCAGTGCTGTTGTAGGAAGTGTTATTTTCAAAAAAATGGGTTTGGGGGTTTTACCTTTTTAAGACAAATCTTAACAAAAAGCCCAAGTGGCTTATACTGACACTGCCCCTCCAAGTATCTCAAGTTTTGCTGCCAGGACTTCCTTGCCTGGTACTGCTTCACAACTATGAATTCTTTGTCAAGACTGTGTTTTTTTCGAAAAGACTGTGTCTGTTTTGTACTACATAGCCTTGTCAGCTATTTCAGCAAGCTGCGCTCTCTAACCTAGTTCAGGCTCATTCCTTGGACTCTCTCAATACATCACAGTCACCATAATGTCTCTGCATGACATCCACCTTGGCTAGCTCCCCTGCTGCAATACAGCCTGAAATATTCCTAAAGTGGAGTTTCAAAACTGCAAAATGAAATGCTTCAGCCAGCACATTTTAAAGACAACATTTGTCCTTGTTTGGGCTTACTGTTGGAGACAGCAGTAAGGATTCAAAGGCTGCAGAAAAATCACCAAAAGTAGTTCTGGTCTTTATTCTATGAAACACACAAGCCCATTTGCCAGCTCACTCTTAATTGCTGGACTTGTCTGGAGGTAAAAGGCTTTGCAAAGCAAAATAACTATTTAACTTGCAAGTCAACGCTCAGATTGCAGCAAAAGGAAATGAAAAAATAGACTTTATTGCTGTAACTAAAGTAATGACTCCATTAGCCCCAACTACAGCTGCAGCTTGATTTCACAAAATCCTTCTGTAAAAACAGAATTCCGATATTGAAAACAGTGATAACTGCAAACTATTTCACACCATAATAAGAATGCATATCTCTTTCTTTTCTAACTTAATTACTCTGTAAACAAAACCAGCACTTGCTTTGGGCTAAATCCTCCACTCTTTCCTGAGCTTGAGGAGAGTCAAAGTTTATTTGCAGAGGAGATGAGATTGCTCACCAGCCAACAGACTCCACACACCCATGACAATGGCAGTGGAGAGAAGGCCTAGTCGAAACAGGCCTTCATAAATCAAAGTGGTGCATTAGAACTGCAGAGCACAAAACACCACAAAATCAGAAACAAATGCCTTTTTTTTAAAAAAAAAAGTACAGTCCAATTTGTAGCAGCCAGGAGCTATTATTATAATAGACAGTTTTATGAAAACATCAGCTGCATGCTCAATCACAACCCTTTTTCCTTCCTCAAAGCCACAAACAACACGATATATGCTTGGGAAATGAACATCATTATGACACTGCATGCCCACATACAATATTCAAGATGTCTCTCATAAACCCAAAGTTTCCTGTGGGAAACTGGAAAAGATACAGAGAAGTGTAACAATGAGGCATAATGAAGAACCACCAAATAGACAGCATCCTCAACCTCAAATCACCAAATCACTGAGATTGCAAAGGACCTCATGAGAGCAACAAGTGCAAGCCCCATGTCCAAACAAGGTCAACTTCAGCTTTTAACCCAGGAATGTGTTTTGACTCTCTCCACAGATGAAGAGTCTACAACCTCTCAGGGCATTTTGTTCTAGTATTTGACCACCCTGACAGTAAAAAAGTGGTTTTTTTTTGTTTTCAGAGGGAATTTCCTGATTTTTAATTCATGCTCATTGCCTCTTGTCCTGTTGGTGGGCATTACTGAGAAGAATCTGACTCTCTCTTCTTTGTTCCCATCAAGTATTTATATACATCACTAAGTTCCCCCCTGAGCTTTGTCTTGCAGACTTAACAGTTCAAGTTCTCTCAGACTCTCCTTGTATGAAGGATGTGGCAGTCCCTTAAGAGTCTTTGCGACCCTACACTGGAGTTGCTCAACTAAGTCCATATCTTTCCTGTGCTGGGGAGCCCTGCACTGGACCCAGCACTCCAGTTGTGGTCTCAGTAGTGCTGAGTAGAAGGGAAGGATCATCTCCCTTGACTGGATGGCTACACTCATCGTATTAGAGCCCAGGTTGTTGTTGTCCTTCTTTGCCATAAGTGTGCACTCCAGCACAGGATTAATTAAAGACATTATGTGAGGTAAGTAGATCAGGAGACAAATCAGGAATGGTTTGGATGAGACTAAGGACAAACTGTTCACTACCTCTTCTCATACAAAAACCAGCCAGGTGTGACATGACAGGTTCAAAAGGACTGAACAGACGGTTCTCTCCCACTGTGTAGTTAAGCCATGCAACTCACTACTGCAGGTAGCTGGGAATCCTGGAAGTTCGTGTGAGTTCAGAGTTCGTTCATGTTGCTGAATTAGGAAATTCTTGAGCTGTCAATTGCAGGAGCCTAGGTGAATATTTTGGGAAAGAATCACCACTAGATCAGAAGAGGGCAAATACTACAGACACGTAGCTGCTGTCATGGATAAGATACTGATAAACCTTTTTTACTGATCCTGGATGGCACCTCTCAGGATAAACTGGAAGAGAAGCATGGTAGGCATGACTGCCTCAGCTGTTTTCCACGCCAATACAAAAAACCTACACAAGAATGCAAATTTGAGTTAAGGCAACTCCAACTCCATGGGAAATCCCTGGTGGCAGAACTACCACATTTCTTCTTTGCAGGAGCTGGGATCCTATGGAAAGCTGTGTAAGACTTATACATATTCCTCCAGTTCTGGGGATTCACTAGTCATGTGTAGTGAGCTGAAGAATATTACTTTAGCCAGCAAACTGAAGTAACACTCTCAGAATAGTTGAACTGACTGGATTTTTGCCTGCCAATCTCAACTTTCCTGAGGACTAGAATTCGGGTTTTGTAAGCTTCTCCTTCATTCTCAATGCTTATCATTTAAGGTGTCTTTAGTTGCATGCTGTGTATATAAAAAATTGTAATATACCAGAAGAAACAGCATAATGAAGGGTTAAAAGGCCTGTGTTACCAGTTCTCAGGACATAGCTGCCAGTAGTAAACTGAGGAATTTATTTATGTAAAGACTATAAGGCCTGCACTCTAACACCTCACAGTACACATGACTTGCCAGCAGAAGACCCTGCATCCTAACACAGGGAGACTGTCAACAAGGCTGCTATGTATCACATAACATTGATTTTTAAATTAGCCCAACAGCAAAATCAGACTCCAGATGTGTATTTCAAACAAACAAACAAACAAAAACCCCACTGGTCAACAACCTGGACTAAGACTCCTGGAAGCTGGTTGGCAAGAGCTTAACTTGAAGGACCATCTATTCAGAACTGACTACACCTAAAAGTTAAGCAAGGTCTGTCCAAAGTACTGGGTTTCCATCACTGGGCAAGAAGAACCAGAGCGGTTCATGTGGGCTCAACAGCTGGCATTTCTTGTCCTTTGCATCTTACAGAAACAATACTGCCAGGCTTCCTCCACTCATCCACTATGGTGCTTGTGAGTATGAGAGTGTGAATTAATGAACTCTGGGAAAGAGAATGTGAATGCACATGAAAAACTTGCTTGAAGATTTTGTAAATATGTATCACTTTCCTTTTTCACAGTATTGCACACTGAGTTTTATTTTGCTAATTTCCCCAGATGTATACTATTATACGACAGATAGTGTCGATTGCAGATCCTTGCAAGAAAAAAAATGTTCAGCACACTCAGACTTTTTCAGTGCTCTGGGCTTATTTTCCAGTTGTGTGAAATACTGATACACAACCTGTAAATTTATTCCAAGGAAAAATCTATAAACGGGGGTTTCTGTATATTTGCGCAACAGCTGGGGAAATGAGCTTAAAAAAAAATCAGAATTTTGTAGTCTAGTAAAAAATGATTTCACTTTAAAATGCCTACTAAGTTACCATATATTACTCTATTGGACCGTTTACCTTAAAAAATGAAACAACAGTAATTTCTTACCAGTCTTTTTTGCTGAAGTTGCTCTCTAAGTAGCCTGTCTTCTGGTAAAACATCACATAAAAGAAAATAATTGTCCTGTTCTTCTGTTAAGAGATTAGAAAGTCTAAGTAAGGAATGGGAAGTTGCAGCTGCTTTGAATATTTCTGACACATAATTTGCTAAACCTCTGGAGGGGTTTGCTAAACCTCTGGAATGTGTTAAGCATGTAAGACTATGATTTTTAATCTAGAAAAGTCAGTTATTTTGATTTCATAATTTAATGAAACATGCTTAAATATTTCTATATACATATTTATATTGCAGTATAAAGATAAAAGTCTTGTATAGCTTTTCTCCACTAACAGCTTTATTAATTTTTATGTTGGTTCTTCTGGAGATATAAAACAATTATCATTTATATTGATTACAGATTAAAGTCAGCATGAAAGAAACACCTCTTGAAATGACCTTTAATTTTATCTTGCATGTGAGATTTTCAGTTATTTCCCTAAGTAATTGCCAGTTTTCAGTAGCTATCATTATTTGGTTTATCCTCCCCTTGCTCTGACCTATTACATTACTTTTTACCATCGGATCTTTCTACACCTACAGATATGCACTACAACTGTTTAGTAACATGCATTGAGACTTGCCTAATTTACATTTCTACTCATATATTTTATACATATTTTATGTTTACTAATCTTTTTACTATTTATGGTCATATCCAATTTAATAAGACAACAAGTCTGATTCAAATGAACTACATTAAAGTGACTCAGCATGTAAGAAAACACAAAAAAGTACAAAACCAATTTGCATTTGAAAGTTACTCATTTATTAATCAAAGGGTGTCCTAGTCACACTAAAAGAAAACCATGCCACCACTCTCTTCTTTCCCCTTCCAGCTGGAGGCACAAAAGGCAAAGATCATGGGTTGAGATAAGAACAACCTACTGGAAACAGCAACTAGATAAGAAAACCAACAGTAACAACAATATTAGTAGCAAAAGGTATAAGACAAAGAAACAATTCTAGATGGAAAGCCCCCGACACAGTACCAAACAGCTCTTCCCACTACACCACACTTTCCCCCGACCGAAAAGGAACACCCTTCTTCTTAGAAGTGAGAGAGCGAGTCCCTTTTTCCCAGTCCCTGGCAATGACATAAGGTGGTATTGAATAACATAATGTCTTGGACACGCCCCTTCCCACTGATCTGGGCCAGAACCAGGACAAAGAGTTAAGTGGTTGGTGAACTGAAGCCTCCATTATTTAGTCTTTTATAATTTTAAGCTTGACAGAATTTTATCCTTTCCCATCTTTTCATACAGAAAGCCTGTTTGAAGTAAGACAAACACCCTGATTTCTAAGCTATCAAATTTGAAGGAGGTGTCCACTAAAATTAACAAATCTGTTAACAAACAAATAACGAAGTATTCTCATTGTTCTCTGGAAGGGTCACGGATATTTTATAGTTCTGGTGTTCAGGTGCTTGATTTGCAATTTTCAAACTGAGTGGTAATTATTAAAATTTCAGAAGCAAAAACATACATACTTAAGAGAAACAGAATTATGATTTTTTGAGTGATTTTCATGTTTTGTAGGACTACTTCTCTTAAAATTATTTTGACTAATTAAAAAAAAAAATTACTTTCAGCCATTTTGTACTCAGTTTTCACCTCCCACGCATCTTGGACACCAGTTGCATGCCTTGCTTCCTCTCTTTTGAGGTCACCATGGAGAATGAAAGAAGCAGAAAAGCCCTAATATTCTTGTTTGCTTTTAGGTAAACTATATTAATCTGTTAGAAAAGGGAAGACAAAGTAATGCATCAACTACTTCTGAGAGAAACACTTCCTTCATACAGTCAACACTGTCTTCCTGATGGAATGTTCCACCATGCCAACAGAGCAGAATGATGAAGTATGGTCTTTGGTCTTGTATTGGAGCCCAGAGAATTGCAGTTTTTGTACCCCTTCCATGAAGATATTGTCTCCTAATACCCTCAGGGCAGTAAGCACCATGGCAGGGGAAGGGAAGGGTGACTGTGGCCCCGATGTCCAGGAAGAGTTAGCAGCATCAGTGGGGATGGTGGACAGGGCAAAGTCAGAAAAGGCACTGGGAATGTTTCTCATAATTTCTGGAAGGACTGTCACCAATTATTTATGCAGTGGGTACTGACACTTCCCCATTCATGATGTAAGTGGCACTACTTCTATGCCTTGACATGCAGTGGGCCCCAAGGCACAGTGCTCTTAGGCATGTATTGAGCTCATCCTCACTTAGCATAGTGCTGAAGCACATGCTATAATCCTTGGTAAAGGTAAGTTTAGATACGTGGTTAAGAGTTAAACATTACTTCTGTGGTTTTCTGACCTAGTGTCAGACACACTTGGCTCATCAAAGCAGCAGTATATGCCAGAAATTATCGCATGATCTGGCCATCAGAAAGCAAGCAAGCAGCACACTTACCTAATGGTGCTTTTGAATTTGTTCTTATCACACTACAAAAGTCTGTGACAGGCTGTTCTGCAAACCTTCTCTTCCAGTACAAGATGTAGCTTTAAAAATAAGAGGGAGATGATCAGTGAAAAAGGAAACACCAAAATGTTCAATAAACAGTTGATGAGCTCTTGTTTTTTCCATTCTCTAAATTCCTAAGGGTTTTGTGATTATTTTTTTAACCTTGTCTCTGTTTTTGCTTCCTTTATATTAGTTTTCAATTTTATGAAATTAATTCGGTTTCCCTTAAACCACGCTGTCAGAGTGAAGAACTCAATAAGCAGATTTGCACCAAGCTTTGCATAAACACTGTGACCTAGTCACATCTTTAGACACAAGTGCAACTCAGATGCATCTTTACTGAAAAGATATACTACAGAGGACTGTCAAATTCCCAAAATATTGTGCTCTGCGTTATGCAAGATACAGTCAGGAATCTGAAACTCAGTAAAAACACCAACTTGACAAAAGTGAGGTTTTGGCAGGTCTCCTGTGGAGTTACACTGAAAGCTGTAGCTTGGCAGACAACTAGAAAGACAGAAAAATGAAGTCCCTGAACACCTGGGGGTGGGATGGCAGACAGAATAAGAAAAGCCCTAAACACATCTTGAAGGTTTAACCCATCAACTACAGTTGTTTAAAAACATTCTGTACTACCATTGTTTGTATGACAGCTGCACCAACAGACCCCAACTGAGATTAGATTTCCACTGAACTAGGAAGCTACTGTATAACCAAGAAGAAATCATTGCTTCACTCACATGAGATGAAGGGAACGAAGCAATCCTTGTGCTAATTATTTGGAATTTTACTATTAAAAATAATCTGAAAATGCTTCAGTACTTGCTTATATTTATACTTATGACTCATGTATGATATAAATCATGGGAGAGCTGGTAAGGTAAAGGCTAATTATTCTATGATAGCTTCTTATTATGTGCCATCAAATTACAAAAAGAATAATTCAAAAATCAGATATTATTATTATGAGGGCATTTCTAAATAGTTGCAGCTTCTAATACTTGTACAATCTATAAGTTCACTTGCCACAACTATCACATTCCATGATGGCTCACATTACCTCTATTTATCATCTATTTTAATATATGAGAACTTCAACCGCAGCAGCCAAGGAATCAGCACATACTTGTTTCTGCTAATTGTGCCACTGAGAGGACTAACCTCTGGTACAGCAGACAGCTAAGCACACTGAAGCCAGAATGCGTGGCTGAAGCTCATTCAGCAGCATCATTAAATGTCAGTAACTGAGAGGTGAGTGTTTTGTTGTTCCCCTGCCCACTCCACTGTTTATAATGCACATTGAAACAGTCTTGCTGCTACACAGAACAGTAAGTCTTCCAGAATAAGTCATCCTCAAGCTTTTAGGACTTAAATGTGCAAATGAAGAGATTTCAAGAGCTCATTTACTAAATGTCTGTCCCCTGCACTGAGAGAAATGAACACTGGTACAAACTCACCTAACCATAACTGCCTGTGCCAAGAAAATTACTGTTAAGGGATTTCACATCATAAGACTTAATCCAAATAATCAATGACCAAATAAAACCAATGCCTTGTCATACTTCCAGGGAGACAGAATGAGTGATCATGTTTAGTCATGCAGCAGAAGCTTATTCCCCTTATCTCTTCCCCTTGCCCTTGTGCCAACTTCTCTTTATTCTTCAAGTCAAAAAAAAAAAAAAAAGAAAGAAGTTTTCCATTAGTACTCATCTTTTCTGGATCATCCAATTCTTGCAGTTGTGTCAAGAAATGTGTTCCTAAGACTGGCTGTAACTCATTGCTAGGTATAAAAATAATATTTTGTTTTACGAGTTGATTCCCTGTATTTTCCACACCTCAGTTCAACACTTCAGAATATACTCACTTTTTTGTGCATAGTATTAGACTATTTTACTGATACAGCAAATTAGAGAAAGCACAGTTCAGAGTAACAACACATCCTGGGGCCCCTTACTATAAAATCTGGCTACCTTCCAATTGTGTTAGCAGAAAAAGTATCTAAATGGGCATTTTCTTGAAAAGATGACTTTAAAATACATTTCTATTAATGCAAAATAATTCCCTCAAGCACACTTAGACTGGCTGTGCATGACTGAGCTGCTCTGATTCCTTTATTTACCTGAAGATATTACTATTATCTCCAAAGAACAGTACATTCTTCTTCTGTCTGCTTTCAGCACAAAAGCGAACAAAAACAACTATCAGTTTTCAATTTTAAGCAATGTTAAGCTCAAACATGTGATTACAGATTTATAAGGTTTACATTTCTCTTCCTAAATTACATTGTATTGTTTCTTTTTTCTGCGTCTTGATAGACACAAGTTACTGGCTTTGACTGAGTAACTAATGACAGACAACCTACTAGAAAACTCATTTTAGTTGAGAAATTATCCAGCTAGCATTTAAACACTGCAACAGAACTGGCAGGTACTGTCTAGCCTTCCTTACTGTGGGTGAAAGCAAAATGTCAAGCAAGTGTCTGGTCTCTGAAGTTACAAGCCAGCTGGGGCCATGCCAGCTACTGGAGGAAGTTAAGAGAGAGAAAGCCAAATGTGACCCTGCTGAGATGATCAATGACACAGCTGTAGAAGGAGTCACAGTTGTATGTAGATCACAGTACTGTAAAGTTAAGGATTAAATGTGATTTCAATGGCGAAAGACTGGCAACCTTAAAATAGCACAAATTAATTTCACCCCAGAATGTGAAAGATCCTGTACTGAGCAGCTTCTGTGTACAACACACAGCTTTAAGACATTAAACAGTGGTAGATATAGTCTTGTCCTGTACAAATAAAACTCCAAATTAGGAGAACTGATTGTCTGGATTGAGCTTTACTAAAAAGACAGCTTTCTAGTTTGCACACAACTTGTTGATTAGTGATAGGACCTGAGAAGTCTGTAGGATACATCAAAGAATGTCTAACAAAGGAATTGCCATGCATTCTAAAATTGAGTCTTCTAGTTCCAGAAACATCTAAGGGCTGGGCACTGGGAAGGTAACGGGAAAACAACCTTACAGCCTAGCAGCAAAGAGCTTATAAAAAAAGGTAACAGATATCTTCTCACAATGTCTTTTAAAAAAGATGATCTCTACTTTTCCAAAGCTTTCCATAACATCTGCACACATACACACTCATTTTAAATGATATAACACTTACCTTCTAAAATCTGCAACCAGTTTCACGTCTGCTATGACGAGCTTGTGTTCAATAATCATGTGCTTCAGGAGCTGGTTTTGTTCTGCTAAAAGATAGCACTCTTTGCAGAAAATGCAAGGCACGCAGGGAGAACTTTCTACAGCATCAGCACCACCTGGACTTTCTGGCAGAGACAGAGGCTCCAAAATACACTCAGTATCTAAAATAAATGAAAGGAATAATTAGTTTTGACTAAGTGAATAAAGCTACATCACTTAAAGTACTTTCAGGCAGTACTTTTTTTGAGTCTCAATTCTGTTGCATGGATCACTCCACCAAAGAGAAGCTTGGAAGCCGCTTGGCAGGTTGACTGCATTGTTTCCAAGAAGGACAGTGGGAGGCTAGCACAGGACAGTTCTCAAGTACCTGCCCCAACTGAAACTCCCAGCTGACACCAAGTCACAAGTACTCTGCTTACTATCAAAGGAAGTTTCTTCCTCTCCCTACCTAGTTTACCTGTTGATATGACTCAAGCTACTCCCTTTGCAACACTGCTCAGAGTATCAGGAAGGCTTTAGACTATATAGCACAAACTGTTTTGCATGTTAATTTTCCTAATTATAGTTTTATTTACTGCACAATGCTTCTATAATTTTCTGACTGACTCTTGAATGTCTGTATGTGTTTGTCTTGCCTTTTTTTCCCCCCATTTGCATCTCACTTCCTGGTCTATGACAAAAGAAAAGACTATTCTTGATAAAGATTACTACCACACAGAAGCTTAGGCCATTGAAACACTTTCTAACTGTACAGATGTTGAGAAGGGGTCAGCCACGCCCCATGTGGAAAGTTCAATGGCCCATGTTTGTACTATACTGTACCAGTCAGACATAGTACATAGTACTCAATTGACAGCACACAGAGATGAGTCACCGCTGTATGTTCTCCAAGTTTGCTGTTGTTGTAGTTCAGGCATTGCACATGACTGCGAGAATGATCAACTCCCAGTTGACATTGAAATTGTGCGGGATCTGCTGTTCTAGCTGAATCCCTACAAATCTATGGGGCCTGAAGGGATTCATCCCAGAATCCTCAAAGAGCTGGCTGATGTCATCACAAAACATCTCTCAATGATTTTTGAGCAGTCCTGGGAATCCCAAGAGGTCTCAGCTGACTGGAAGCTGGTGAACGTTGTCCTGATTTTCAAGAAGGGCAAGAAGGACCATGGAAACCACAGGCCTGTCAGTCTCGCTTCAGTGCATGTAAAGTTATAGAGAAGATTATCCTGGGAAGTACTGAAAAACACCTGAAAGACCATGCAGTCATTGGTCACAGCCAAAACAGCTTCATGAGAGGAAAACTCAGCTTATCAAACCTGATTTCATTTTATGACAACACAACCCACCTAGCTGATCAAGGAAAGCCAGCTGATGTAATCTTTTTGGATTTCAGTAAAGCTTTCGATACTGTTTCTCACAGGATCATTCTGGACAAAATGTCCAGCACACAGCTGGATAAACACATCATGTGATGGGTGAGCAATTGGCTCATGGGTCGAGCACAGAGGGTAATAGTGAATGGGGGAATATCAGACTGGTGACCTGTCACTAGTGGGGTTCCACAGGGCTCCATCTTGGGCCCTGTGCTCTTCAACATCTTCATAAATGACTTGGATGCAGGACTGGAAGGGATACTGAGCAAGTTTGCAGATGCCACAAAACCAGGAGGAGCTGTTGACTCCCTCAAAGGCAGGGAGGCCCTGCAGAGAGACCTCAACAAATTAGAGGACTGGGCAATCACCAACCATATGAAATTCAACAAGGGAAAGTGCCGGATTCTGCACCTGGGATGGGGCAACCCTGGATGTTCATACAGACTGGGGAATGAGATGCTGGAAAGCAGTGCCATGGAAAGGGACCTGAGGGTCCTGGTGGATGGCAAGTTTAATATGAGTCAGCAGTGCCCTGGCAGCCAGGAGGGCCAACCGTGTCCTGGGAGGCATCAGGCAAAGCATCACCAGCCAGTTGAGGGAGGGGATTGTCCTGTCCTGCTCTGCACTAGTGTGCAGTTTTGGGAAAGATATTTAAGCTATTAGAGAACATCCAAAGAAGGGCAATGAAGATGGTGAAGGGCCCTGAGAAGAAGCCATATGAGGAGCAGCTGAGGCCACTTGGTCTGTTCAGCCTGGAGGAGACTGAGGGGAGACGACATTGCAGTCTAAAACTTCCTCATGAGAGGAAGAGGAGGGGCAGGTACTGATCTCTTCTCTGTGGTGACCAGTGGCAGGATGCCAGGGAATGGCCTGAAGCTGTGTCAGGGGAGTTTTAGGTTGGGTATTAGAAAAAAGTTCTTCACCCAGAGGGTGATTGGGCACTGGAACAGGCTCCCCAGGGAAGTGGTCACAGCACCAAGCCTGACGGAGTTCAAGAAGCAGTATTGGAAACAAGCAGACTGACCCAGAGTATATGTGTATGTTCCCCATTTAAATAACAGTGGTGTAAATTCATAAGCTCTTCCACTGGCATAAATTAGTGGAGTTCATTAAGAAACATGGTGTGACCAACAGATTTCAACAACTGGCCCCATTAACCTAACCAAATTCTAGCTGTCCAGAAATAAACTGTGGTATTCATTTTCCAAACTAATCATACCTCAGTCTCTGGTAAGAGTTTATCTTGGAAGCAAATGACAATTTCAATTTGTATCTTCAATTTTAGCTACATCAATTTTGCACAGCAAAAGGAGACTAAAAGCAAACAGAAAAAAGCTCCCCAATGTTCCTGCACTCTTGAGGATGAAAACTGAAAACATCATTGGTGTCCTTGACTCTTGTGATGTGAAGTTAGCTTGTGCAGCAGGAGAATAAACTATCTCTGAATTCCTGCAATGACATGAACATCTCTGTAGAAAAATGAAATTTCACAGAACCACAGAACGGATGAGATCCGCAGGGACCTCTGGAAGTCATCTGGTCAAGCAGGGCCCTCAAGCAGGCCCACTTAGAGCTGGTTGCCTGGGACCATGTCCAGATGGCTTTTCAGTATCTCCACAACCTCCCTAGGCAACCTATGCCAGTATTCAGACACCCTCACAGTGAAAAAGCATTTCCTGATATTTAGAGGGAACCTCCTGGGTTTCAGTTTCTAAAGATACCTAAAGAATTAAGCAAAAGACCTTCTCTCAAGTCTATTATTGTGTCACACACAAATTTTTAAATGTGTATGGCTAAATGAAGCTTAATTAAAAATATTCACCAGATAGAAGAAGCAATGTCAACTTTCACCCCATGAAAATCACATATATATGTTATACATTGGCAAGTACAATAAACCTGATAATCTGATAACTTGCCCACGTGGAAAATGTGGAAAACAATTGAAAAAATCATAGTAATTTATCTTTTTTCCTAGGAAAATATGCTAATGGAGCAGTGCTGTATCCATCAGTGATCCATCTGATCCATCAGTGGCTGGCCTGCCAGTGTGGACATGCAGTGCTCCAAAGCAGCCACAGCACGAACTGATGGCTCCTGATGAGGGTGCTCATCTGGGGAACTGGGGGTAAGATGGGGCTACTGGAGCCACATGTGGGAAGGGGTACAAAATCAAAGGAAACACAGCTTCATCAATTCTATGCTGCTCCTGAAACAACATATATCCCCTCCACAACTGTAGAGGCTTCTCCTTAGGACTTTTGAAAAATATAACTGCCTGGAAAGGCAGTGACTTGACTGAAGACTGATGGCTGGGTTACACTGAATTCAGTTTATCCCATAAAACTAAACAGTGTGGAAAGATGGCAGCACACAGAGCATGGCATTACCTGTAGCAATACAACTGCTGTGCACAATCTGACACTCCTCTCGCAATTTTACTTGCACTTCTGCCTATTCCTTTCCCCCAGACACTTCTTTATTAAAACTGGCATTGCAGAAATTGTTCCATTTGTCCTATTTTAAGAACAGCAGCTGCTATACTATGTGCTAGAGCAACCCTCATGAAAGGGTTAGCTGTCCCATGCAAAACTGATGTCACCTGCAAGAGTCCGGGTTTGTCCATTCTTACAGTCAGTACTAGTTTGTAGCCTGCAGAATCATTAAAACTTACTGAGAAAAGTAGAACAACTTAATTTCCTCTGCAATTGCTGATGCCAAGTGAACTAAGAAGATACTCTGTCAGCCAGTTCAGCTGTGACCAGTAAGCAGCTACATTGCTTTTTGTTCATTTATAGTTTAGGTCTCTTGCAATGACCTATTTAGAAGTCCATTAGTCCAAACATTTAGAAGTTCAAATAAACAAGTGTGTATCTGCCTCAATAAACCAACTTTCAACAGATAGGTGTGCAGGGCAGGAACTGCTACTCAACATAGACAAGAAGCTAAGACAGTTATTCAAAATGAGTACTTGTGAATAGCAATTACTTGGGCTGGAAGAACAGAGCTGTTAGCCTTCAACTGTAGTGGGGAGTTGCTGAAAGGAATAAACTGCGGTGAAGATTTTTTTGCTGCCCAAAGAAAGTAGTTAAAAGAGAATAACTTTAGACTTACTGTGCCAGTGTGGCAACTGCAGAAGCTTATGCAATTTCTTTCAAAGACACTTGGAGGAGGGGAGGGAAAAAAGAATCCATGGAAATATCTTTGTACTCATCTGCTACAAAAAACACTGAACAAGAAAATAAATTAACAGAGCTGAACAAAGATGCACAGCCTTTAGCGTAGCACTTACTGGACTAACGTAGCACAAACATCAAAACAGTACAAATAAAGCTAAGTGTGTATTGAAAGCTCTGCAAAAGCAGCTAACTTTGTTCCTATATTTGGAGCAGAGTGGCCACAGGTACTGAAGAAGAGCTGTTAACTGAACCACAGCTCAGGGCTAACAGAGAAATAAAAACACTCAGATCCAGTTCTCAAACTCCAAGACTCCCACATGCAGAGACTCTTGAAAACGAGGAAAAAGTAGCAAGCTTTTCTCTTAGAATCTACTGCAACAAAAATTACTTCACAGGGACAGAACTAAACATCCCTTTAGTGCACGTGCCCTAGCTGACAAGGGCAAGAAGTAATTCCCTAGAATTGTATAAAAATAAAGCAAACAAACAGTAATCACAGAAATAGCACAGTCTTCCAGAAATCTGAGGGTGGAGAGTTTAAGTCAAAGGCTATATGAGTCTTTGTTAAACCAGTTAAACAACTTTTTTTTTTTCTCCATGGATTTGTTTTTGCACTGTTTAAAATTGTTGGTCTTTCAACACCTACTATAAAACCTCCAGCAACATTTCATGTTCTCCTAATGGTCCTTCATTCCTTGTTGTCCTGGTTCAACTCTTGGCTGGTTCTAGTCTACTCTTCTTCATGTGCTGTGGTAAGGGGTGGCT